GACCTCAAGTGATCTGCCCACCTTGACCTCCCAAAGTGCTGAGATTACAGGTATAAGCTATTACACCTGGCCTGTTTTCTTTTCTTTTCTTTTCTTTTTTTTTTTTTTTTTTTGAGGTGGTCTCTGTCATCCGTGCTGGAATGTAGTGCATCTCAGCTCACTGTGACCTTCACCTCCTACGCTCAAGTGATCCTCCTGCCTCAGCCTCCCGAGGAGCTGGGACCACAGACATGCACTACCATGCCGCACTAATTTTTATATTTTTTGTAAAGATAGGGTCTCACTCTGTTGCCAAGGCCAGTCTTGAACTCCTGGGCTCAAGCAATCCACCCACCTGAGCCCCGCAAAGTGTTCCTCCAAAAGTGTTGGGATTGTAGGTGTGAGCCACTGTGTCCTGCCTGACTTTTTAATTTTCCCAGTATGATGATTGTGAATGGTAGCTGGTTTTCATCATTTTAATTAGCATTTCCCTGATTTGTAATGAGGTTCAAAAATCTTTTCATGGGTTCACTAGCCTTTTGTGTTTTCTTTTCTGTGAAATGCCAGTTTATGTCTTTTGCTCATTTTTCTTTATGAAGCCGTAGGCATTCTTTATCTATTCTAGATATTAATATAGATTATTAATCCCTATTAATCTATTGTCAGTTTTCCATGTTGCAAATAGCTTTTCCCATTTGTGGTTTACCTTTTCATTTTTTTTTTTTTTTGTTTTAAGAGTGCAAGGATGATGCTGAAAGGAATAACAAGGCTTATCTCTAGGATCCATAAGGTGAGTCCTGACTGACCTGAACACTGTGCATATTGCCTTTAGGTTCCTGGGTTCTTATTTTTAGATGGAGTCATTGTATCTAGAGTGAAATGCTCTGGAAAACTTCATATGTAACAGGTTTCAGTAGAATAATTGTGCTTGAGAATTTACCATGGGATAGGAGAATTAATATTTTTCCAGAAAACATAAGTAAGTTCGACTGTAATTATCTTTATCGACTTTATTTCTCTAGCCAACTAGAGAATGGTTATCATCCCTTAATGAAGTATTTAAAAGAAAAACAAGTTGCCAATTTACAGCTTTAGCATCTAAAATAGAATAAAAAATAAAATTGTACATGAAAAAGACCATTCTGCTGGTTTGCTTCATTGCTTCATTTTTTCACCAAATAGTTGTTCAGTACTTTGTTTTTTTTGTTTTTTTTTTTTTTTGAGACGGAGTCTCACTGTGTCACCCAGGCTGGAGTGTGCAGTAGTGCAATCTCGGCTCACTGTAACCTCCGCCTCCCGGGTTCAAGCATTTCTTCTGCCTCAGCCTCCCGAGTAGCTGGGACTACAGGTGCGTGCCACCATGCCCAGCTAATTTTTGTGTTTTTAGTACAAACCATGTTTCATCGTATTAGCCAGCCTGGTCTCAAACGCCTGACTTCGTGATCTGCCCACCTCGGCCTCCCAAAGTGCTGGGATTACAGGCATGAGCCACTGTGCCCAGCCTTCAGTACCTTCTATATGGCACGTACTCAGAATTCTAAGATGCTTCATTTCACTAATAATAGTTATTATTTGTTGGGTATTATTATGTTCCAGGTAATACACTAAGTGCTTCAGTTTTTTTAATCCTCATGATCAACCCATGAACGAGATAATATCCTTGTTTCACAGATGTAGAAACTAAAGATGAGATTGACTAGGTAACTTACCTGAGGAAATAGCTTGTTAGGTTGCAAAGCCCACACGAGGTGCCAGGTCTGTCTGACTTCAAAGCCTGTGGCCTAACCACTGTGCTCTATTGCATTTTATGGTCCATGTTCTCCAGAAGCTTATAGTCCAGTAGAATCATGAATAAATGACTATTTCAGTACGGTGCTCTGACAGCACCAAAGAGGAGCACCTGAGCTGGATTAGTCGAGTCAGTAGGAGATCCTGATAAGGCTCAGAACTGAGCCAGAAAGACTTGGTCATTTTCAGCTGGTTATTTAATTACAGATTAGATTTCCTAGAAGAGGAGCCCTTCCTCCTGTATGGCTCTCCCTGCATGTGCCCCCTTCCCTCAGGCCTATATATGAATACATGAAATAACCCATTATTATAAAATGAAATGAAAGCAAGGATCAGCAGAGGGATGGATTCTGGACTCAACTGATCATATTACAAGGCTAAAATAAATTTCCTTTATCGGCTGCGCACGGTGGCTCATGCCTGTAATCCCAGCACTTTGGGAGGCCGAGGCAGGCAGATCACCTGAGGTCAGGAGTTTGAGACCAGCCTGGCCAACATAGTGAAACCCCATCTCTCCTAAAAACACAAAAATTAGCTGCATGTGGTGAGAGAAAGTTTTGGGTTTTTTTTTTTAGTTTGGTTCAGGGTGACTATATTAGTCAGGGTTCTCTACAGGGACAGCACTAATAGGATAGAAGTATATATGAAGGAGAGTTTGTTAAGGAGTGTTGTCACACCATCTGGCAAAGTCCCACAGTAGGCCATGAGCAAGCTGAGGAGCAAGTAAGCCAGTCCAAGTCCCAAAACTTCAAAAGTAGGGAAGCTGACAGTGCAGCCTGTAGCTAAAGGCCTGAGAGCCCCTGGCAAATCACTGTTGTAAGTCCAAGAGTCCAAAAGCTGAAGAACTTCAGAGTCCAATGTTTGAGGGCAGGAAGCATCTAGCCCAGGAGAAAGATGAAGGCTGGAAGACTCAGCAAGTCAGCACCTTCTTCTGCCTGCTTTATTCTAGCTGCCCTGGCAGGTGATTAGTTGGTGAAACATTGAGGGTGGGTCTGCCTCTCCCAGTCCACTGACTCAAATGTTAATCTCCTTTGGCAACACCCTCACAGACACATGCAGGAACAATACTTTACAGCCTTTAATCCAATCAAGTTGACACTTAATATTAACCATCACAGTGACCTTCTAGATTGGCCCACAAATGCTCTTTCAAAAACTGCAGGATGTTTATTCTGGAACTGTACAGAGGCAGTTGTACACATGGTTGTTTTCTCTGGAAACAACAGTCTACTTGAGTGATATATATAAAACTTTAAGAACTAAAGATTCCATTTTGCTGTAGGCCAGGCACGGTGGCTGACACCTGTAATGCCAGCACTTTGGGAGGCCGAGGCAGGCAGATCACCTGAGGTCGGGAGTTCGAGACCAGCCTGACCAACATGGAGAAACCCCATCACTACTAAAAATACAAAATTAGCCAGGTGTGGTGGCGCATGTCTGTAATCCCAGCTACTTGGGAGGCTGAGACAGGAGAATCACTTGAACCCGGAAGACAGAGGTTGCAGTGAGCCAAGATCACACCATTGCACTCCAGCCTGGGCAACAAGAGCAAAGCTCCATCTCAAAAAAAAAAAAAAAAAAAAAAAAAAAAAAAAAAAAAGATTCCATTTTGCTAGCTTTTAATTTGCTTCAAAAATTACCTGTAGTTTCAGCTACTTGAGAGGCTGAAGCAGGATGATCATGTGGGCCCAGGATTTGAGACTGGCCTGGGCAATATAGCAAGACTACACCCTATGTCCAAAAAAAAAAAAAAAGTATAACAAAAACGTCATCACATTACTGTAGAAATAGCACCACCTTGTGGCCCTTGAATAGTTTGTTTTCCACTTTGCTTTGTAAAGAGACATGGTGCTTTCTCTCCAGTAGATAAAATTGAGTAGCATTTAAGTAGTACTAGGGTATATTATTCAGATTGCAATGCTGAAGTAACAAGCCTTGTATTCTCAGTGGCCTAACACAAAGGGTATTGTTTGTGTTGTGTGCATGTGTTTTGCTTTGTTTTTCTGTTCATATCTTTCAAAAAGGCTTTGCAAGCAAGATTGAAGTCTGGATGGAGGGACAAAAGTTTACCTTCTTGGGATACATCTCAACATGTAGCTTTTAAGATGGGGAGGGAGAGATAATTTATACCTCACACTTAATTGGCTCTGACTAGAAAGGACGCAACGACACAAGTTATTTCCATTCATAGGTCTTTAGCCAAAGGAATCACATGACCTCTCCCGTTTCTTCAAGGTAGACTGAGAAGTGTAGAGAATGATTTGGATATTTGGATATTTCCCAAGCATTGCTCCTTCTGCTGTAATTTACAGTCATACATTCTCAGACAGAGCTGGAGCAACTCTAGTACTTGACAGTTACTTTATATTAAAATCTACGAGTAATGGTTCAGAGGTTTCTGTGTATACTTCACTGAGTTTCCTATAGAGCATTTACTTTACTTCGTGGATGCTTTACGTACTTTCTCATTGCATGTTTTCAGTTTCAGATTCTTTATTCCAGGGCAAAGGGCTAAGTACTTTGTAGTGTGTTAAGTACTCAGAGAGGGAGATACAAAAATGAATAAAATCTAACCCCTTCTAAGCGTGTAGCCTAGGAGACAAACATGTATAACATAACATGATACAATTTTTTTTTAAATAGAGACAAACTTGGATGTGAATTCCAGTTCACCGCCTAAAACTCTGTGACCTTAATCAAAATTACTCAGCTTCCCTGAACCTTGTCTTCCCCATCATAACAAAGGGTTGATAATATTCTGCCTATCTTCTAGGATTTCTAGGTTTAAAACTAGTACATATATAATACTGTATTGCCTGACATCTAATAGATACTCAGTTAACAGTAGGCAGGAGTACAACTCAAGGCAATGTAATAAAATTGCCGTGTAATACAAAGAGTGCTATTAGCAGAAAGGAAAGAGAATTACTTTTGACTGGAGGTGTCTGGCAAATTTTCACTGAGGATGTGACATCTGAGTTGAGGTTTGATGAATGGGAGGATTTAAATGGGGAGAGAGGGAAGTTGAAGTTGAATGAGCAGAAGTATAGAGGCATAAAAGTGACTTGTTTTAGCGTGGTCATATGGTTATAAATGAAATTACAAAGGTAGGCTGAAGTCATCACAGTGGTCTAGATTGTTATGCTAAGGAATTTGAGACTTATTTTGACATCATTCTGGAACCTTCTAAGCTTTTTAAAATTTTTTTATTGTCGGGGTCTCACTGCTGCCCTGGCTGATGTGGAACTCCTGCCCTCCAGCAGTCTTTCCACTTTAGCTCCCAAGTAGCTGGGACTACAGGAGTGGACCACCACACCTGGCTCCATCCAAGCTTTTAGATTAGTCGAAGGTTAAGCCTATTTTTGGGAAGATGAAGGACAATGAAAGAGGAAAAAATCAAAGATTTAGAGATAAAGATACAAGTTAAAATGTTATGTGTTGGCTGGGAGTGGTGGCTTACGCCCATAATCCCAGCACTTTGGAAGGCTAAGGTGGGCAGATCACCTGAGGTCAGGAGTTCCAGACCAGCGTGACTAACATGGTGAAACCCAGTCTCCACTAAAAATACAAAAATTAGCCAGGCGTGGTGGCGGGTGCCTGTAATCCCAGCTAGTGAGGCAGGAGAACCACTTGAACCTGGGGGCAGAGGTTGTAGTGAGCGGAGATCATGCCATTGCACCCCTGCCTGGGCGACAAGAGTGAGACTCTCTCAAAAAAAAAAAAAAAAAAAAAAAAAGTGATGTGTACAATACTCTCTCTCAACCTGTGCAGTGGGAATGTTAGACACAGAATTTATGTATGGAGTTTAGGATCCTGTCATAAAATGGGTGTAAGTGTGAGGAGGGATAGTACAGAGATAACTTACATTTTCTGCACTCAAAAAACTGCTTGGTAGGCTGGGCATGGTGGCTCACGCCTGTAATCCCAGCACTTTGGGAGCCTGCGGCAGGAGGATCACCTGAGGTCAGGAGTTTGAAACCAGCCTGGGCCGGGCGCGGTGGCTCAAGCCTGTAATCCCAGCACTTTGGGAGGTCGAGACGGGCGGATCACAAGGTCAGGAGATCGAGACCATCCTGGCTAACACGGTGAAACCCCGTCTCTACTAAAAAATACAAAAAACTAGCCGGGCGAGGTGGCAGGCGCCTGTTGTCCCAGCTACTCGGGAGGCTGAGGCAGGAGAATGGCGTGAACCCGGGAGGCGGAACTTGCAGTGAGCTGAGATCCGGCCACTGCACTCCAGCCTGGGCGACAGAGCAAGACTCCGTCTCAAAAAAAAAAAAAAAAAAAAAAAAGAAACCAGCCTGGCCAACATGGCAAAATCCCGTCTCTACTAAAAATAGAAAAATTAGCTGGGCGTGGTGGCACATGCCTATAATTCCAGCTCCTCTAGAGGCTGTGGCAGGAGAATCGCTTTAACCCAGGAGGCGGAGGTTGTAGAGAGCCAAGATCTTGCCACTGCACCCCAGCCTGGGCAGCAGAGCAAGACTACATCTCAGAAAAAAAAAAAACACCACCAAATGCTGCTTGGTGAGCCAGGTGCAATGGCTCACACCTATCATCCTAGCACTTTGGGAGGCTGAGGCAGGAGGATCACTTGAGCGCAGGAGTTAGAGAGCAGCCTGGGCAACATAGCAAGACCCTGTCTTCAAAAAATTAAAAAAATTAAAAATTAGCTGGGCGTGGTGGCATGCGCCTGCAGTCCCAGCTACTTGGGAGCCTGAGATGGGAGCATGGCTTGGGCCTGGGAGTTTGAGACTACAGTGTGCCGTGATTGTGCCACTGTACTCCAGCCTGGGTGACAAAGCAAGACCCTGTCTTTAAAAAAAGAGGGTGAGAAGCTGCTTGGTGAGACTATAAAATACAGACCGCTTTCATATGATAACCTATTTATTAAGCAACTCCCTTATTACACTATCCATTATATTTCTGTTCTCTCGCTTCTCCTGGCTGCATTCCCTAATCTTTTCCTCATAACACATCTTTTCACTTTCTACATAAGGCTTATTATCCTTAAGCTCAGTTTTGGAGTTTTTCACTTACCCTTTTGTTAGATTTGTCTCCTGAAATCCCCCCTCTTCCCCTCTCTGTTGGTTCAGAGGTTTCAGTGTACAGTTCACTGAGTTACCTATAGAGCAGTTTGCTTTCACTTAGCTATGTATCTGACATACTCCCTTATTACATGTCTCTAATGAAAGATTCTTTTTTCCAGGGCACAATTAGCAGGAAAATTGTTACAGGGCATGTAATTATAGCTGTCACATAGTGAGGAGCATTGCACTGATCCCCTGATAACTGAGGTGACTGACAGAGAATGAGAATTACACAGTTTTGGCAACCATTCATCACTGGGCAAGCGCATTAAAAGAGCTTTCCTGCTTCAAGTTTGCTAATGGTTATGCTGTGTATGCTCCTGAATAATCTCTGACAGAATTGTTTGTTTCCATATAGGACAGATCCCTGATAAGGCAATACACAGACTGGAACAGATATAGAATATGAACAATGTCATTGGACTTAGTGAATTTTAAATAATAACAGGGATCTTTTTTACATAGAAGAAAAATGTGTGTTAGTGACATCCCTGTTGCAGACATGGCTCACCTTCTCAGTGTTATAGCGAGCATAAAAAGTTTGTTTGGCCAGGTGTGGTGACTCAAGCCTGTAATCCCAGCATTTTGGGAGGCAGAGGCGGGCAGATCACCTGAGTTCAGGAGTTCGAGATCAGTCTGGCCAACATGGTGAAATCTCGTTTCTACTAAAAATACAAAAAATTAGCTGGGTGTGGTGGCACGTGCCTGTAATCCTAGTTACTCAGGAGACTGAGGCGGGAGAATCACTTGAACCCGGGAGGCGGAGGTTGTAGTGAGCCAAGATCGCTACACTCCATTGCACTCCAGCTTGGGCAACAAGAGCGAAACTCTGTCTCAAAAAAAAAAAAAAAAAAAGTTTGATAACCCCATGACACTGAAATGATTTCTCTTACAGTTGGACCCTGGGCGTTTTTTACACATGGGGACCCAGGCAAGCCAAAGCATGGCTGCTCACCTAGATAACCAGGTTCCAGTTGAGAGTCCCAGAGCTATTTCCCGCACCATTGAGAATGACCCGGTGAGTTACTAATGTGTATATGGGGTTTCTCAGGGCTTATGATTTGTGTTCCTATCCTCATTTTGCATAGGAAAACCGAAACTGCAAGAAGCTTAGTAGATTTGCATTTACTCAGATAGTGCACCTGAGATAGCACTCTGGAACCCAGATTCTCCCTGTCCCTGTCTGATACTGTGGTAACATACACTGGCCAGCTCCATCCATATCTGTTCCCATGTAATCCTGACTAGTGAATTCACCTAGTTTCACGGATTTTGCTGAGCATAGAGTTGTCGAATACTCAATACTTACTAAGTTTAATTTCTTACAGGGTAAGTTTACCAATTATTATTGCTTATATTATGTGTTGGGTGACAGACCTTTTCTTAAAGGACTATGTAGTGAATATTTTAGGCCGGTGGACTGGGATGATCTGTCACAAGTACTCAACTGTGCCATAAACAAATGGGTGTAAACATGTACCAGTAAAACTCTGTTTACAAAGCAGGTGCCCAGCCATAACTTAACAACCTCTGGTATGGAGAATACTAAAGAAATTAAACTACTTGCCCACAATTTTCTACCAGGGTAGGTTCAGAACCCAGTTTTTCTAATAACCAATCTGGTGCTATTTTGCAGTTTTGTAAGTGGATTTCCTAGGGTCTGGAGAGGGAACTAACTTGATTTGTTATGAGAAGAGCAGCATTTAAAATGAATTTTGTCTGCAGAAGCCAGGATTCCAGCGGTATCTAGTGTTGCATTTTCTAGTCCAGTTCCCCATTAGACTGGATATTGATTTCTTTTTGTTGCTGCCTCTCATAAATGAAATTAATTTGTGGTCTGTGCTGTAATGTGAAGAACCAGTAGTTTCCTTCCCTGCCCCTACCCTCTGAGTCTTCCCATCTTAATACAGTCTTTGTGGAAGGAAAAAAAGAATCACCCATTACTCAAAACATTATCTCAGCAGGGTGTGTTTTAAATATATCTCTAGCCTTTGGCCATGTGGGGTGGCTCATGACTATCATCCTAACACTTTGGGAGGCCGAGGCAGGAGGATCACTTGAGGTCAGTTCTAGACCAGCCTGGCCAACATAGCGAAAGCCTGTCTCTACTAAAAATACTAAAATTAGCTGGCTGTGGTGGCGGGCACCTGTAATCCCAGCTATTTAGGAGGCTGAGGCAGGAGAATCGCTTGAACCGAGGAGACAGAAGTTGCAGTGAGCCAAGATTGCACCACTGCACTCCAGCCTGGGCAGGAGAGCAAGACTCTGTCTTAAAAAGTATATATATATGGCTGGGTGAGGTGGCTCATGCCTGTAATCCCAATATATATATACCATTCACCTATTTTGACAAACACAAAATGAAGTAGAATAAATGAATCAAGCCACTGAAGTGTCTTTCAGCTTTCTCTGTAATTGTAGTTCTTTTATCTGCCAGTTCCTCTGGGGTTTCTATGGAAACAGCAGCATGCAGATGATCTTGTCACATGACTGGAGCATCTCTATACACAGCACAGAAGAATCCAGATGGCAAGAATTGTCTTTACTACCCCTACATCTACAGTTTACTTTGATGAGCAATTGGCTTCATTATTTGGGCCACCACTTTTATATACATACTGGGTTTGGGGACAGCAGTCAGCATTCTTGGCTAAGATAAATGAGGATGGGCACAGTAGCTTATGCCTGCAATCCCTGTACTTTGGGAGGCCTAGGCGGGAGGATCACTTGAGCTTAGGAGTTCTAGACTAGCCTAGGCAACATGGCAAGACCCTAACTCTAAACAATTTTTTTTTTTTTTTCCGAGACAGAGTTTTACTCTTCTTGCCCAGGCTGGAGTGCAATGGCGCGGTGTCGTCTCACTGCAGCCTCCACCTCCCGGGTTTAAGTGATTTTCCTGTCTCAGCCTCCCAAGTAACTGTGATTACAGGCACCCATCACCACACCTGGCTAAGTTTTGTATTTTTAGTACAGATTGGGTTTCACCATGTTGGCCAGGCTGGTCTTAAACTCCTGACCTCAGGCAATCCACCCACCTCAGCTTCCTAAAGTGCTGGGATTACAGATGTGAGCCACTGCACCCAACCAAAAAAAATTTTTTTTTTCTTTTTCTTTTTTTTCTTTTTTTTAGACGGCGCCTTGCTCTGTCGCCCAGGCTGGAGTACAGTGGCATGATCATGGCTCACTGCATCCTCCACCTCCCGGGTTCAAGCAGTTCTGTGCCTCAGCCTCCCCAGTAGCTGGGATTACAGGCACCTGCCACCATGCCTGGCTAATTATTTGTATTTTTTGTAGAGACGGGCTTTCACCCTCTTGACCAGGCTGGTCTTGAACTCCTGACCTCATGATCCACCAACCTTGGCCTCCCATAGTGCTGGGATGACAGGCATGAGCCACCGCACTCGGCCAAAAGTTTTTCAATTAGCAGTGCATAGTGGCATGCGCCTGTAGTCCCAGCTACTGGAGAGGTTTAGGTACAAGGATCACTTGAGCCAAAGAGGTCAAGGCTACAGTCAGCTGAGATCAGGCCACTGCACTCCAGTCTGGGCAACAGGCTTTCTCAAAACAATGGGAGATATCTTTTCCAGCTTTAAGAGATGAGTGGTCCAGGGCGCAGTGGCTCACGCCTGTAATCCCAACACTGAGAGGCTGAAGCGGGAGGATCACTGGAGTTCAGGAGTTCAAGACCAACCTGGGCAACATAGCAAGACCTCATCTCTACCAAAAAAGTCAAGAAGTTAGCCAGGTATAGTGGTGCACACCTGTGGTCCCAGCTACTCGTGAGGCTGAGGCAGGAGGATCTCTTGAGCCTGGGAATTGGAGGCCTCAGTGAGCCATGATTGCACCACGATACTCCATCCTGGTAAACCGAGCAAGATCTTGTCTCAAAAAAAAAAAAAAGAAAAAACAAGACATAAAGGCCGGGTGCAGTGGCTCACACCTGTAATCCTAGCACTTCGGGAAGCCAAGGCAGGCAGATCACTTGAAGACCAGCCTGTCCAACATGGAGAAACCCTGTCTCTACTAAAAATACAAAATTAGCCAGGTATGATGGCACATCCCTGTGATCCTAGCTACTTGGGAGGCTGAGGCAGGAGAATTGCTTGAACCTGGGAGGCGGAGGTTGTGGTGAGCCACGATTGCACCATTGCACTTTAGCCTGGGCAACAAGGGTGAAACTCCATCTCAAAAAAAAAAAGAATACATAAAGACATGAGTGAATAGCAGGCCTTATCCAATTTTCAAAGTCTTGGTCACAGATAAGAAGACAAGGCTGGGCTAGGCACTGTGTCTCACACCTGTAATCCCAGCACTTTGGGAGGTCAAGGTGAGTGGATCATGAGGTCAAGAGATTGAGACCATTCTGGTCAACATGGTGAAACCCCATCTCTCCTAAAAATACAAAAATTAGCTGGGCGTGGTGGCGCGTGCCTGTAGTCCCAGCTGCTCGGGAGGCTGAGGCAGGAGAATCGGTTGAACCTGGGAGGCAGAGGTTGCAGTGAGCCGAGATCGCACCATTGCACTCCAGCCTGGGTGACAGAGCAAGACTCCATCTCAAAAAAAGAAAAAAGAAGAAGACAAGACTGGGCAAGGTGGCTCACGCTGTAATCGCGGCATTTTGGGAGGCTGAGGCAGGCAGATCACCTGAGGTCAGGAGTTTAAGACCAGCCTGGCCAACGTGGTGACCCTGTCTCTACTAAAAATATGAAAATTAGCCGGGTGTGGTGGCACATGTCTGTAATGCCAGCTACTGGGAGGCTGAGGCAGGAGAATTGCGTGTACCTGGGAGGCGGAGGTTGCAGTGAGCTAAGATCGCGCCTTTGCACTCCTGCCTGGGTGACAAAAGTAAAACTCCATCTTAAAAAAAAAATTTTAAGCCAGGTGCGGTGGCTCATGCCTGTAATCCCAGCACTTTGGGAGGCCCAGGCGGGTGGATCACAAGGTCAGGAGATCGAGACCATCCTGGCTAACACAGTGAAACCCAGTCTCTACTAAAAATACAAATAATTAGCCGGGCATGGTGGCGGGCGCCTGTAGTTCCAGCTACTTGGGAGGCTGAGGCAGGAGAATTGCTTGAACCTGGGAGGCGGAGCTTGCAGTGAGCTGAGATCCAGCCACTGCACTCCAGCCTGGGCGACAGAGCGAGACTCCATCTCAAAAAAAAAAAAAAAAGTATATATATATATATATTTATATATATATTTATATACACACACACACACAGATAAGAAGACAAAAAGAAAGTCTTGGTCACTTTGTCACCATTATACCTGTTTGCACTCTTATTTCCTAGGCCAAGCATGGGGATCAGCACGAGGGTCAGCACTACAACATCTCCCCCCAGGATTTGAAGACTGTATTTCCCCATGGCCTTCCTCCTCGCTTTGTGATGCAGGTGCTCAAGACAGGGAATGGTACTGGGGGGAACCCAGAATACAAGCTGCTGCTAGCAAAGGGGTTGGGCTAAATGAGAAGAAAATTATAAAAGATGAAATTTAATCTGAAAAACAAATTCATCTGTTGATTACCTTTTGTGACTAGTACAATTACTTTAAGCTCATGTTTAAACAGTATTGATGTTTTCCTCCTTGTATAGCCCAAGAAAATTCCAGTAATTTCGGCATCAAATAATTGTTTTAAATGAACTTAAAATTTGCCTTGGCAGAATATCATGAAAATAGTTAATATGCTGCACAAAAGCAAAATCATAATATACTCCTGAGCTAAATAGAAGCGATATTTTGATTAGATGCATTGGTTTTTATTTTCCCATGTATTTTGTGAAAATGTTATCAAGCTTGCCTGTGCAGGTGAGTTTTAGCGTGCGAGCCAGAGGATCTTATTTCTTTAGTGTGGTTTATTTCAGGAAATTAGATGAATAATAAGGGCATAACAGGTCGGGCGCTGTGGCTCATGCCTGTAATCCCAGCTGCACTTTGGGAGGCCAAGGTGGAGGGATCACTTGAGCCCAGGAGTTCGAGACCAGTCTGGGCAACATAGGGAGACCTGTCTCTACAAAAATTAAAAATAAAAAATTAGCTGGACATGGTGCACACCTGTAGTCACAGCTCCTCGGGTGGCTGAGGTTGGAGGATCACTTGAGCTCAGGAGGTGATCAATAAGCTGTGATTGCACCACTGTACCCCAGCCTGGGTAACAGAGCGAGACCTTATCTCAAGCATAAAATAAAGTAAGGTATAACAGGCCAGGCAAGGTAGTTTATGCCTGTAGTCTCAGCACTTTGGGAGGTGAAGGTGGGATGATCGTTTGAGTGTAGGAGTTTAAGACCAGCTGGGCAATATAATGAGACTGTATCTTTATTTAGAAAGAAAAACACGGGCAACCTGCTGGGGTCCCCTTCCACACTGTGGAAGCTTTGTTCTTTTCCTCTTCACAATAAATTCTTGCTGTTGCTCACTCAAAAAAAAAAAAACATTTAGTCCTGTGTGGTAGCTCCTTGAGGTAGCTCCTTAGGAGGCTGAGGCAGGAGGATGGCTTGAGCCCAGGAGTTCAGGCTGCAGTGAGCTACGATAGTGCCACGGCACTCCAACTTGGGCAACAGAGTGAGACCCTGTCTCCAAAAAACAATTTTAATTAAAAAAATTTTTTGTTGTTGTTGTTAAGATTGGAAATGGGACACAACCAGAAGAAAGCATCTGCAGTGGCACTTTAAACTGTTCAAGACATTCAAGTACAATATTGATTTAGCTTCAGGGTTGTGAGGTACTGTCTTTAATTAACTATTTGAAGTTGTTTTCAGACTGGGTTAACCAACAATGCTCTGGAAGAACTTAAACATTCTTTTCATAATTTTCATTTACGTGAAGGCCCACTTCCTCACCATTATTGTGGATATTAGCATTGTCATACTGCCTAATATGACATTTTTTTTTTTTAATACTGCTTCTTTTGGAGCAGACCTAACTGACGGACAGTGTGCCTAGAGTAGCTGACTTTATTTTATTATTATTATTTTAATTACAGAGACAGGGTCTCACTCTGACAACCAGGCTGGAGTACAGTGGCGTGACCATAGCATACTCTACATCTCTGACCTCCTGGGCTCAAGTGATCCTCCTGTCTTGGTATCTCAAAGTGCTGGGATTACAGGTGTGAGCTGCAGCTCCCAGCCCTGATGTGCCTTTTTTTTTTTTTTTTGAAACAGAGTTTCACTTTTGTCACCCAGGCTGGAATGCAGTGATGTGATCTCAGCTCACTGCAACCTCCGCCTCCTGAGTTCAAGTGATTCTCCTACCTCAGCCTCCCAAGGAGCTGGGATTACAGGTGCTCGCCACCACGCCTGGCTAATTTTTATATTTTTAGTAGAGATAGGGATTTGCCATATTGGCCACGCTGGTCTCCAACTACTAACCTCAGGTGATCCACTTGCCTTGGCCTCCCAAAGTGCTGGGATTACAGGCATGAGCCACCACGCCCAGCCGACATTTGTTTTAATACCTGTATTGTGTTTTTTTGAATATTGAACCTTCCATTAAGTTTGGAATCGCCTGTCAAATCCTACACCAATTCAATTGTTTTGTTAGGATTTCTTTTAAAAATATCAACACTGGCTGGGTACAGTGGCTCACACCTGTAATCCCAGCACTTTGGGAAGTCGAGGTGAGCAGATTACTTAAGGCCAGGAGTTCAAGACAAGCCTGGCCAAACATGGTGAAACTCCGTCTCTCCTAAAAATACGAAAATTAGCTGGGCATGGTGGCGCACGCCTGTAGTCCCAGCTACTTGTGAGACTGAAGCAGGAAAAACGCTTGACCCCGGGAGGCAGAGCTTGCAGTGAGCTGAGATCGTGTCACTGCACTCCAGTCTGTGCGACAGAGCGAGACTCTGTCTCAAAAAAATAAAAAAATTAACACTATTTTAGTTATACTTAGAAACAGTATTTGTTAGATATTTATTCCTATTAGTAGACATATTTTAATATTTTCTTTGCAAATCAGTTTCACACACATTAGTGCTTCCCAGATTTCCTGCCAAAGTATTCTGGTAGCAAAAGGGGAATGAACACATAAACTCTGAAAGGTTAGTATGCTGGGGGTGTGAGGTATGGATGGCCTTAGAGTTGTGGGGGCAGCTGGTCACACCTGCTCCTGAGCTGCCATGTATTTAGTTCTAGAGAAAAAAGTAAATGGTTAAAGTAATAAAAATAAATTTTAGGCCAGGTACGGTGGCTCATGCCTATAATCCCAGCACCTTGGGAGACCTAGGTGGGCGGATCATGAGGTCAGGAGTTCAAGACCAGCCTGACCAACATGGTGAAACCCTGTCTCTACTAAAATTACAAAAATCAGCCTGGCGTGGTTGCGGCACCAGTAATCCCAGCTACTGAGGAGGCTGAGGCGGGAGAATTGCTTGAACCCAGGAGGCGGAGGTTGCAGTGAGCCAAGATCACGCCACTGCACTCCAGCCTGGGTGACAGAGCAAGACTCCGTCTCAAAAAAAAAAATTAACTAAAAATAAATTTTAGGCCGGGCGCACTGTCTCACGCCTGTAATCCCTGCACTTAGGGAGGCCGAGGCGGGGGGATCACCTGAGGTCAGGAGTTTGAGACCAGCCTGACCAACATTGAGAAACTCCATCTGTACTAAAAATATAAAATAGCCAGGCGTGGTGGTGCATGCCTGTAATCCCAGCTACTCGGGAGGCTGAGGTGGGAGAATCACTTGAACCGGGAGGCAGAGGTTGTGGTGAGCCGAGATTGTGCCATTGCATTCCAGCCTGAGCAACAAGAGTGAAACTCCATCTCAAAAAAAAAAAGAGTTAATGTTTATTGAATTATTAACTTGTGTCAGAAATTTTAAGCATTTTTCTATATGCTTTCCATATTTACAGTGGCCCTAAGTGGTATACATAATTTTGTCATGAGACATATCAATTATTTATAGATTTTAGCAGCAATAGAATATACGCTTCAGTAACAGGAATAATCAAAAGCTGACTATCATGTTACTTAGTGCGGAATAATGTATTTCAGTTTTTAGCTAAGTTATATGGATAGATTTTCAAACTCAGTACCAACCCAGCTTCTCCTAACCAAATAAATTAGAGGCATGCAATTTGATGGTCTTGGTTGCCACTTTTGGCAGAGTATGTATACCAAGAACTGGCTAGAAATTCCACACCCCACCCACTCCTTCCTTCTTTCCTATTTTATCAGGTGAAGACACTCAGTGAAGCTTGCCTGATGGTAAGGAAACCAGCCCTAGAACTTCTGCATTACCTGAAAAACACCAATTTTGCTTATCCGGCTGTACGATATCTTCTGTGTATCCTTTCCTGCCTGCTTGGACCCTCATAAACCAATGCTTTCTCCCCACAAATAAGGGAAAAGAAGAAATGAAAAAAAGTACTATGGAGGCCAGGCACTGTGGCTCACACCTGTAATCCCAGGAGTTTGGGAAGCCGAAGCAGGCGTATCACCTGAAGTCAGGAGTTCAAGACCTGCCTGGCCAACATGGCGAAACCCCGCATTTACTAAAAATGCAAAAAATTAGCCGGGTGTGGTAGCATGCACCTGTAATCCCAGCTACTTGGGAAGCTGAGGCAGGAGAATCGCTTGAACCCGGGAAGTGGAGGTTGCTGTGAGCTGATATCAAGCCACTTCACTCCAGCCTGGGAGACAGAGTGAGACCCTGTCTGAAGAAAAAAAACAAAACAAAGCGTAACTACTGTTCACAGTACAAATGATCCTTCTAGTCATGTTTTCTTTAACAGCACATACTTTAGATGGAGAGAAGGGAACAGGAAAAACCCTCAGTCTCTGCCATGTTATTCATTTCTGTGCAAAACAGGACTGGCTGATACTACATATTCCAGATGGTGAGGACTTCCTGTTGTTTCTTCTGTCTGTTAGGTTTAATTATCCTGTTACTGTATTTTCTTTTTTCTTTTCTTTTTTTTTTTTTTTTGAGATGGAGTTTCGCTCTTGTTGGCCAGTCTGGAGTGCAGTGGTGCAGTCTCAGGTCACTGCAACTTCTGCCTCCCAGGCTCAAGAGATTCTCCTGCCTCAGCCTCCCAAGTAGCTGGGATTACAGGTGCCCACCACACCACCACGCCCAGCTAGTTTTTGTAGTTTTATAGAGACAGGGTTTCACCATGTTGGCTGGGCTGGTCTTGAACTCCTGACCTCAGGTGATCCACTTGCCTCAGCCTCCCAAAGTGCTGGGATTACAGGTGTGAGCCACTGCGCCCGGCCTCAGCTTTAACTTTCCTAGCTAAAGGAAAAGGCTTTGCCAGTCACAATGGCTGACACCCATAATCACAGCACTTTGGGAGGCCGAGGTCAGAATATTGCTTAGAGCCCAGGAGGAGGCTGCAGTGAGCTGTGATCGCACCACTACACTCTTATCGTGGGCAACAAAGCAAGACCCTGTCTCAAAAAAAAAAAAAAAAGCCTTTGCTCCAGAGCAGTCTGAGCTCATCCATCATGATTTCTTCGTGATATTATTGCCAAGCAGGTTACAAGGTGAAGTCAATGTGACAAAAGGAAATTGGAGTAAAAGCTTCCTGAAGCCTTTGATGCTAAGCAGTCCTTCTTTTGATATTTAATACCTATGAGCATAAACTTCTGCCTTAGAGGTCGCCATGGAGTTTTTTGTTGTTTTTTTGTTTTTGTTTTTGTTTTGCCATCAGTTAACAATCCTGAGTACCCAGAGAGCCTTTTACTATTTATCAGCATTCTAGAGTCGTCAGTGTGGATTGTCAAAACTTGCATTTATCTCTTTTGTGTTCAATGTTGTGTGCATCCACATTTTCTTTTTTAAACAACCCTGCTTACGTAGTAACATCCACATTTTCTAACTTACCTTTCAAACCTGCCGGTAAGCAGAAGTGGCATTTAATTCACTTGGTGTGGTTTATATATTGATTCTAATGATAATGTTTAGTCTAAGCTGGACCTGACAAGGCCAGGCACAGTGGTGCACCAGACTTTGAGAAGCTGAGGCAGGAGGATCGCCTGAGCCTGCGAGTTCAAGGTTACAGTGAGCTGTGATCATATCCTGCCTTCTAGCCTGGGTGACAGAACAAGAGGCTGTCTCAAAAAACAAAGAAAAGAGCCGGGCGCGGTGGCTTAAGCCTGTAATCCCAGCACTTTGGGAGGCCGAGATGGGTGGATCATGAGGTCAGGAGATCGAGACCATCCTGGCTAACCCGGTGAAACCCCGTCTCTACTAAAAAATACAAAAAACTAGCCGGGCGAGGTGGCGGGCATCTGTAGTCCCAGCTACTCGGGAGGCTGAGGCAGGAGAATGGCGTAAACCTGGGAGGCGGAGCTTGCAGTGAGCTGAGATCTGGCCACTGCACTCCAGCCTGGGCGATAGAGCGAGACTCTGTCTCAAAAAAGAAAAAAACCAAAGAAAAGAAATATATATGAGAAACTAAAGTCATTTCCCATAACTTAAAAGAGGCTGAAATATTTCGAGTTGAATACAGTTTCTTCATGGCTTGTTTTCTTCTGCCTCTTTTTTTTAAAGCTCATCTTTGGGTGAAAAATTGTCAGGATCTTCTGCAGTCCAACTACAACAAACAGCGCTTTGATCAACCTTTAGAGGCTTCAACCTGGCTGAAGAATTTCAAAACTACAAATGAGCGCTTCTTGAACCAGGTGACTAGACTCTCAGAAGTTGAGTGCTTGGTAGTCCTTATATAGATTCTTTGTGCCCTGAGTACCAATAGACTATGGAGAACTGATACTGGAGTTGAAATATCTGTATCAGTTTTAATTTATTTTTGTAAGTTTTGCTCACAGTGGATTCATAACTTGAAACTCATTTATCCATGTGAAATAAATAGGCAACAGTAAGTTGTTCCCATTTTGTGGGTAGCCAAGTGAAATCCAGTTGATTCATTGACTTTTCAAGGTACAGCCTCCAATCCCTGGCAAGCACATTTCCAACTACATGATTTTCTCCAGATAAGATCTTTTTAGGGAACCAGAAATGTATTGGAAAAATTCTTCTTTACCCTGGTGATTCTTGGATACCCTGTCTAGACCAGGGGCCTTCAACTCTGGGTATAAAGCAGAGTCACCTAAGAGCTTGTTAAAAATGCAGATGCCATTCTGGACATTTTCATCAGAATCCCTTATGTATGTTTTTTCAAGACTCCAAGCAGAAATGGATTAGAAAGCATTCACTTTGGTCAGGCACGGTGACTCATATCTATAATCCCAGCACTTTGGGAGGCCGAGGCAGGAGTTCGAGATGAGCCTGGCCAACATGATGAAATCCCATCTCTACTAAAAATACAAAAATTAGCTGGGCGTGGTGGTGCACGCCTGTAGGCCCATCTATTCAGGAGGCTGAGGCAGGGGAATCTCTTGAACCTGAGAATCAAGAGGTTGCAGTGAGCCAAGATAGTGCCACTGCACTCCAGCCTGGGTGACAAAGTGAGATATGGTCTCAAAAAACAGAAAAAAGAGGTCAGGCGTGGTGGCTCAGACATGTAATCCTAGCATTTTGGGAGGCCGAGGTGGGCAGATCACCTGAGGTCAGGAATTCTAGACCAGCCTGGCCAACATGGTGAAACCCCATCTCTACTAAAAATACAAAAATTAGCCAGGCATGTTGGCACACGCCCGAAATCCCAGCTACTCAGAAGGCTGAGGCAGGAGAATCGCTTGAACCTGGGAAGTGGATGTTGCAGTGAGCTGAGATCGCACCACTGTACTTCAGCCTGGGTTACAGAGCGAGACTCTGTCTCAAAAAAACAAACAAACAAACAAACAAACAAAAAACGAAAGCATTCACTTCTACGTTGAGGTCTCTTGCAGAACCTGAACAATAGATTAAAATGAACTCCTATTAACCTTAGCCTCCAACCTTTTCAAGCGATGGTTTCACCCTTAGGCCAAGTAGCCTTTTTTTGGTTTTTATTTTCTTTGCTTGCTTTTAGATAAAAGTTCAAGAGAAGTATGTCTGGAATAAGAGAGAAAGCACTGAGAAAGGCAGTCCTCTGGGAGAAGTGGTTGAACAGGTATAAGAAAAGACACTGAATGTGTAACATGCGATAACAAGAGAAGGCCTCCGGTAGCACTACAATCCACTGTCTCTACCAATAGGGCATCACACGGGTGAGGAACGCCACAGATGCAGTTGGAATTGTGCTGAAAGAGCTAAAGAGGCAAAGTTCTTTGGGTATTTTTCACCTCCTGGTGGCCGTGGATGGAATCAATGCTCTTTGGGGAAGAACCACCCTGAAAAGAGAAGATAAAAGCCCGGTAGGAAAACTGGGTGTCTCTATCGATATTCTTTCTCTGATTTCTGGTTCCATCAGTATGGAGGCTGGGTCTTAGCCTTGTAGACCATACAATATGTTTTCTTGCCCTAGGAATATTTAAAGTAAGATAAACAGTAAACAGCTGGGTGCAGTGGCTCACGCCTGTAATCCCAGTGGCTCAGGATGCTGAGGTGGGAGGATCGCTTGAGGCCAGGAGTTCAAGACTAGGATGGGCACTATAGCAAGGCCCCTGCCTCTAAAAAAATAAGAAATTAGCCAGTAGCCAGGCATGGTGGCACACACCTGTAGTCACCGCTACTGGAAAGCTGAGGCCAGAGGATTACTTGAGCCCTGGAGTTCAAGGTTGTAATGTGGCATGATTGCAACACTGCACACCAACCTGGGTGACAGAGTGAGATCCTGTCTCTTAAAAAATATATATATGGCTGGGCGCAGTGGCTCATTGCCTGTAATCCCAGCACTTGGGGAGACTGAGGCGGCCGAATCACCTGAGGTCGGAGTTTGAAACCAGTTTGACCAACATGGTGAAACCCTGTCTCTACTAAAAATACAAAAACTGGCCGGGCATGGTGGTGCATGCCTGTAATCCCACCTACTCAGGAGGCTGAGGCAGGAGAATCGCTTGAACCCGGGAGCCGATTGTGCCACTGCACTCCAGCCTGGGCAATGAGCAAAACTCCGTGTCAAAAAAACTCCATATATACACACACACACATATTCATATATATATGTGTATATGCACATATACATATGTATGTGCACGTGTTTGCGTATATATGCATATATGCACATATGTATATCTGCACATACACATATTCATATATGTATACGCATATACATATGTGCATATATACACATATATTCATATTCATATATGCGTGTATATATATGAAGATAAACAGCAAGGCCTGTGGTGGCTGATGCCTGTAATCCCAGCACTTTTAGGAGGCCGAGATGGGTGGTTTGCTTGAGTCCAGGAGTTTGGAGTTTGAGATCAGCCTGGGCAGCACAGTGAAACCCTGTTTCTACAAAAAACACAAAAAATTAGCTGGGCATGGTGTTTGCACCTGTATGTAGCTCCAGCTCCTTGGAAGGCTGAGATGGGAGGATGGCTTGAGCCCAAGAGGCAGAGGCTGCAATGAGTGGAGATGGTATCACTGCATTCCAGGCTGGGCAACAGAATGAGACTCTGTCTCAAAAAAAAAAAAAAAAAAAAAAAGATAAACAGTAAGATGGAAACAGAGGAGAAGGTAATTCCAAGAGTTCCACTATTCATTGAAAACTAAGGGAGTATATTGTGGAAAGAGAATGACAGCAGAAGCTATGTTTTCTTTCTTAATTTTTTATCTTTTGATTCTTTTTTCAAAATGAGGCTAGATGGTCTAAGCAGAGGAGATCAGAAGCATCAAAATGGGGCTGGTTTGGGATAGTGGGTGTTTTTCTCGGTGACTGTTGTTAATCTCCAGACGCATGGCAGTTCTGAGGCCAAAGGCTATGTGGCTTATCCCAGAGGGAGTACCTTCAGGTATACAATTATGTCTTAGTTGAGGGTTTTAAAAAAATTGTTGTCGCCAGGCGCGGTGGCTCATGCTTGTAATCCCAGCACTTTGGGAGGCCGAGGTGGGCGGATCACAAGGTCAGAAGTTCGAGACCATCCTGGCTAACATGGTGAAACCCTGTCTCTACTAAAAATACAAAAAATTAGGTGCTGGTGGCATCTGCCTGTAGTCCCAGCTACTCAGGAGGCTGAGGCAGGAGAATTGATTGAACCCAGGAGGCGGAGGTTGCAAGTGAGCCGAGATCACGCCACTGCACTCCAGCCTGGGCGACAGAGCAAGACTCTGTCAAGAAAAACAAAAAAAAAACACAAAAAAATTGTCAGTTATTTCAGGAGAACATCTGGGAAAGGCATGTGATGATTTCTTATCTCTTTCTGTCCAATATGTAGATTGCCCCAGAGGAATTAGCACTTGTTCACAACTTGAGGAAAATGACGAAAAATGATTGGGTAAGTGTATATGATACCTCACACATTTCAGAAAGAAATGTATTTTCATTTTAAACATGTTCTCCTATTTCATTGCTAGTACTTTACAGTCTCTAATTTTATGGACAGTAAGTTATTATGTCTTATTTAATTCCTGTATCTGTACCAAGTTAGAAATAAGGTCTGAATTAAAATCTATGTATATGGTTTATAATCTTTCCACTTAACTGGAGTAAGTTTATTCACAACCATTTTATTTAAATATTGACCTAATTTTATTTTGCTTGCAGACATTTAAAGTGTTTTTGTATTTCCTTACGGTCTTTGGAAAAGAGTTTGAGACCCACACATATGTCATGGTAAATTAAAATCAGGCAGCAGTTTACTGTCAGAGCCAAAGCTGGAATAACCAATTTAGTTGCCATTTAACTGTGCTACACCATACTTTTGTAACATTGTATACCCAAGAAAGAAAAAAACATTTACAGATGATTAAATTGCAGCTTTGTATCCTTTTCAACTTTTTCCAGTTCAGCCTTTTCTCGTTTCTTTCAGCATGGTGGCGCCATTGTGTCGACTTTGAGCCAGACTGGGTCTCTCTTTAAGCCCCGGAAAGCCTATCTGCCCCAGGAGTTGCTGGGAAAGGTCAAGTCAAACGAAAATTTGTCTTAGATTGTTATCCTGTCTAAAGAAAAGTATTTATTAATCTATTTATTTTGACATAATTTCAGACTTAGAGAAAAATCATATTCCTTTATGCCCTTCTCCTGGATTCCTAAAATATTAACTTGATCATAATTCCTTTAGCCGTCTGTCTTTCTCCAGAGTTTCTTTGCTGTTTTTTTTTTTTTTGAGGCGGAGACTTGCTCTGTCACCCAGGCTCGAGTGCGATGGCGCAATCTCGGCTCATCGCAACCTCCGCCTACTGGATTCAAGTGATTCTCCTTTCTCAGCCTCCTAAGTAGCTGGGATTACAGGTGTCAACCACCACGCCCAGCTAAATTTTTTTTTTTTTAGTAGAGATGAGGTTTCACCATGTTGGCCAGGCTGGTTTCAAACTCCTGACCTCAAGTGATCTGCCCACCTCAGCCTCCCAAAGTGCTAGGATTATAGGCGTGAGCCACAGTGCCTGGTCTTAACACTTCTTTGTCTCCAAATAATGTCTCATTCATATAAACAAAGATACTTTAATATATACCCTGAGCATAATTATCAAAGTCAGAAAATTGACATTGATGTCATACTTATACCTAATTAGTGGAATTAATTCTGATGTAGCCAGTTATCCCGGTATCTTTTATAGAAAAATAAATCCCAGATAATGTGTCACATTAAGTTTAAATGTCTCTGGCCGGGTGCAGTGGCTCATGCCTGTAATCCCAGCACTTTGGGAGGCTGAGGCAGGTGGATAACGAGGTCAGGAGATCGAGACCATCCTGGCTAACACGGTGAAACCCCATCTCTACTAAAAATACAAAAAATTAGCCGGGCGTGGTGGTATGTGCGTGTAGTCTCAGTTACTTGGGAGGCTGAGGCAGAAGAATCGCTTGAACCCAGGAGGTGGAGGTTGCAGTGAACCAAGATTGCGCCACTGCACTCTAGCCTGAGCCACAAAGCAAGACTCCGTCTCAAGAAAAAAAAAAAAAATTCCTTCCTGTGAGCATAGTGGCTCACAGCTGTAATCCCAGCACTTTGGGAGGCCAAGGCAGAAGGATCCCTTGAGCTCAGGAGTTTGAGACCAGCCTGGGCAACAAAGTGAGACCCCACCTCTACAAAAAAAATTTTTAAATTAGCTGGGCATAGTGGTATTCACATGTAGTCACAGCTACTCTGAAGACTGAGGTGGGAGGATCGCTTGAGCCCGGGAGGTCAAGGTTGTAGTCAGCCCTGATTTTGCCAGTGCACGCCATCCTGGGCGACAGAGTGAGACCCTGTCACAACAGCAAAAAAAAAAAGCTCCTTCAAACTTGCTTCTATATCCTTTTAACATGTCCCGATCATTATGTTTTTGGAGACAGGGTCTCACTCTGTCACCCAGGTTGTAGTGCAGTAGCACCATCATAACTCACTGTAGCCTTGAGCACATGCCACCATACCCAACCACGCTGAATGTTGTCTTTTTTTTTTTTTCTTTTTTTCTTTTTTTTTTTAGAGGCAGCGTCTTAACTATGTTTTTGCCTAGGGTGGTCTTGAACTGCTAGCTTCAGGCCGGGCGTGGTGGCTCACGCCTGTAATCCTAGCACTTTGGGAGGCCGAGGCAGGTGGATCACAAGGTCAAGAGATTGAGACCATCCTGGCTAACACGGTGAAACCCCGTCTCTACTAAAAATGCAAAAAAAAAAAAAAAAATTAGCCGGGCGTGGCAGCGGGTGCCTGTAATCCCAGCTACTTGGGAGGTTGAGGCAGGAGAATGGTGTGAACCCGGGAGGCGGAGCTTTCAGTGAGCCGAGATCGCGCCACTGCACTCCAGCCTAGGCGACAGAGCGAGAGTCCGTCTCAAAAATACATATATATATATATATAGTATTTGTGGCCGCGTAGAGCACGAGTAGCCAGACACCATATGTGGAATCCTGTATCAGGCAATGTTTCCAGAGAATGAGAAGTAGAGTTACATAGAAGAAAAACAAAGACTTTGCCTTCAAAGTGCTTAAGCAGTTTGTCTGGTGCTTTGTCCCTTAACTAATATGTTTCCTGATCCTTTTTCTTCCCCAGGAAGGATTTGATGCCCTGGATCCCTTTATTCCCATCCTGGTTTCCAACTATAACCCAAAGGAATTTGAAAGTTGTATTCAGTATTATTTGGAAAACAATTGGCTTCAACATGAGAAAGGTCCATCATTTAGTTTTTTCCTATCAGGGCTTTGTGATCACAGTAGAATCCCACTCAATCAGAGCCTTGATCTCTTCTTCCATCAACAACAGCCTCTAATTTGTACTTTATCCTTTATCTTGACTTCTTTCTGGCTGATAAATGGTACAGAAAGGTGGGTGGAAGGTTGTTATGGTTTAATTTACAAAAGAGATTTTATCCCTAAATATTTCATGATAAAGAAGGGAGCAAAACCAACTCCATCCACTGGGCAGAGTTTCCAGGTAATTGGGTTCCTGCCACATTCTCCTTAATGAATTTATTCATTCAACAGACTTCACTTGAGAGATTCATTCTGGGACACCCACAGAATAATTCATACTGCATGAGGGCTACTCCAGCACCTAAGTAAATCTTTGCCACACCTGTCCTAGTAGATGTACAGAAATTAACTTCAGCACCATATTTCATCTACTCTGACTGAAAGCATTCCAGCTGTTCATTTATTTGCCCTTGACCTCACCTTTGAATATGAGAGGGGATATAGAAGAAAAGCTAAGGCTGTTCTATCACTAGATAATAGAAAGTTAATAGTAATTGGAGGCCTGGTGCAGTGGCTCACGCCTGTAATCTGCACTTTGGTAGGCCAAGGTGGGAGGATCACTTGACGTCGGCAGTTTGAGACCAGCCTGGTTTATACAGTGAGACCCTATCTCTATTGAAAAAAGCAAAAAAAAAAAAAAGTACTAATTGGAATAGCTTATTAAAGGAGTACAGTGAAGAGTGTAAGACTAACTGCAGCATGTTAAGTTGGGATACACAATGGACAGATTTCTAAGAGTTGGGAGATGTGACAAAATCCTGACGTCCAGAAGACACTCTTGGAGTGGAAGGAGAGCTCCATAGTGGATTGGAGGAGTAGACACAGAAAAGGAAATAATGCATACAAAAGAAGAGTAGCTTGTTGGGGTAAGGGTCTAGAAGTAAGATTTCTTGGGAGATGATAATTACCTCAGAATGTAATTTGGATATAGTAGCCTCTGACTACACCATTTCCTGGGGAACACAGTGCAGCAGGAAACTGCCACTTACCTGTGTTTGTCTCCATTTTAGCTCCTACAGAAGAAGGGAAAAAAGAGCTGCTGTTCCTAAGTAACGCGAACCCCTCGCTGCTGGAGCGGCACTGTGCCTACCTCTAAGCCACGATCACAACATGTGAGGAAGACAGTGGACATCTCCTTTTGGCTGGACCTAGTGAGATGAGGAAGTCGGGCAGTACACAGGAAGAGGAGCCAGGCCCTTGTACCTAGGGGATTGGACAGGACTGCAGTTGGCTCTAGACCTGCATTAAAATGGGTTTCACTGTGAATGCGTGACAATAAGATGTTCCCTTGTTCCTGAAACTTCTATTGGTTTATTGGATGTGGTTTTTCACATTTAAGATAACTGTGGCTCTTTTCCTAAAAAATAAAATACCTTTCTAAAGTGTTGTGTTAGATTAATAATATGGAAGGAGTCTTTAGATTGGCCAAGTTGCATTTCTCTGATATTCCACTTGTTGCAGGTCAGAAGAGATCAATTCTACAGAAATTTCCAGTGGTTCTGTTGAGGTTTTATGGAATTCAGCATGTCAAAATTCACAGCTGGCCGGGCACAGTGGCTCATGCCTGTAATCCCAGCACTTTGGAAGCCCAAGGCGGGCAGACTGCTTGAGTTCAGGAGTTTGCAACCAGCCTGGGCAACATAGTAAAACCCTGTCTCTACTAAAACTACAAAAATTAGCTGGGCATGGTGGCATGCGCCTGTAATCCAAGCTATTCGGCAGGCTGAGGCAGGAGAACTGCTTCAACTTGGGAGGCAGATGTTGCAGTGAGCCGAGATTGCACTACTGCACTCCAGCCTGGGCAACAGAGCAAGACTCCATCTCAAAAAAATAAAGTACACTGTGCTGTTTTACGTGAGAGACTTCAGCATCTAAGGATGTTGCTACCTGGGGGAAGTGGGGTCCTGGAAGGAATCCTGCATAGGTATGAGGAATAACAATAATGGAAAATCAGTTATCTTCCCTTTCTCCTAGTGCTTTTCTAAAAGGAATCTCTGTTACCAAATCTACACAAATATATATATGACTGGGCTTGGTGGCTCATGCATGTAATCCCAGCACTTTGGGAGGCTGAGGTGGGCAGATCACTTGAGGTCAGGAGTTCAAGACCAGCCTGGCCAACATGGTGAAACCCTGTCTGTACTAAAAATACAAAAAGCCAGGGGTGGTGGCACTCACCTCTAATCCCAGCTACTTGGGAGGCTGAGGCAGGAGACTCGCTTGAACCCAGGAGGCGGAGGTTGCAGTGAGCAGAGAGAGCACCACTGCACTCCAGCCTGTGTGATACTCTCTCTATATATACACATATGTATATATATTATATGTATATATTATGAATATATTAGTATTACTATTAATATATTGTATATTATACTATATACTACTTTGATATATATTAGAAATATATTTGATAGTGATGTTACTATCAAAGTAATATATGTTGTATATTATATATTGTGTGTGAAAATATATATTACTCATAATATAGGGTCCTGTAATGTATATGTATTATATATTATATATATTTGTATATATAAAATATATTTTTTATTTATATATTTTTAAGAGATAGTCTTGCCCTGTCTCCCAGGCTGGAGTGCAGTGGCATGATCACAGCTCACTGCAGCCCCAACTCCTGGGCTCAATCAGTCCTTTCGCCTCAGCCTCCCAAGTAACTTGGGGCCACAGGTGTGTGCTACCACATCTGGCTAATTTTTTAGTGTTTGGTAGAGACAGAGTGTGGGTTGGTTTCCCAGGCTAAGCAATATGGCAAAACCTCAGAGTGAGACCCAATCTCTAAATAAATAATTTGAACAAAATAACTGCTAAAGGTACACTAGAAACCATATTCCTGATGATAATTTAAAATATCTAAATGGAAAGATACTCCATGTTCATTGACTGGAGTACTCAATAGATGGCAGTTATTCCTATATTAACCTATAGATTCAATGCAATCATTATCAAAATTTCAGCAGGTTTTTTGGAAAACTGACCAAGCACGGTGGTCCATGCCTATAATCTCAGCACCTTGGGAGGCCAAGGTGGGCAGATCACTTGAGCCTAGGAGTTTGAGACCAGCCTGGGCAACATGGAGAAGCCTAGGCTCTACAACAAATACAAAAATTAGCCAGGTATGGTGGCGTGCACCTGTAGTTCCAGCTACTTGGGAGGCTGAGGCAGGAGGATCACTTGAACCCCAGAGCCTGAGGTTTCAGTGAGCCGTGATCATGCCACTGCTCTCCATCCTCAGCTGCAGAGTAAGACCCTGCCTCAAAAAACAAAAAGGAAATTAAAAAGGGAAACTCACCTAAAGTTTATGTTTTTTAAAAATATTATTTTGAGACAGGGTCTGTCTGTTACCCAGGCTGGAATGTCAGGCTGCATTATAGCCTTGACCTTCTGGACTCAATCCTCCCACCTCAGCTCCACGAGTGGTTAGGACTACAGGCATACACCACCACTCGTGGCTAATTTTGATTTTTTTTTTTTTTAAATAATGATGGGATCTCACTATGTTGCCCAGGCTGGTCTCAAACTCCTGGGCTCAAGTGATCCACCTGTCTCAGCCTCCCAAATTGCTGGGTGTATAAGCGTGAATGACTTTGGCCAGCCTATAACCCCATCGTCTGTTTCTGGGAAGACCTAATGCACCCAAACACAATGCTACCTTCAATAGACGAATCTAAAATTGCAAATAAAAATTCAAAAGAGGGCCAGGTGTGGTGGTGCACGCTTATAATCCCAGCACTTTGGGAGACCGAGGCAGGTGGATCACCTGAGGTCAGGAGTTTGAGACCAGCCTGAGTAACATCATGAGCCAAGATCGCGCCACTGCACTCCAGCCTGGTGACAGTGCGAGACTCCGTCTCAAAAAAAAAAAAAAAAAAAAAAAAATGAGCCGGGCCCGGTGGCTCACGCCTGTAACCCCAGCGCTTTGGGAGGCCGAGACGGGCGGATCACAAGGTCAGCAGATCGAGACCATCCTGGCTAACACGGTGAAACCCCGTCTCTACTAAAAATACAAAAAATTAGCCGGGCGCGGTGGCCGGCACCTGTAATCCCAGCTACTCGGGAGGCTGAGGCAGGAGAAAGGCGTGAACCCGGGAGGCGGAGCTCGCAGTGAGCCAAGATCGCGCCACTGCACTCCAGCCTGGGCGACGGAGCGAGCCTGTGTCTCAAAAAAAAAAAAATAATAAAAGATTGAGTAGCATGATTAACACTTGTCCTAATGGAAGTATTTTTAAAAATTGAATCCCCAAACAACTTTTTTTTTTTTTTTTGGAGGAGTTCTTTTACATTCATGTAATATACTTTATTTATTTTAATTTTATTTTATTTTAGTTTTTGAGACGGAGTCTCGCTCTGTCACCCAGGCTGGAGTGCAGTGGCACGATCTTGGCTCACTGCAAGTGCCGCCTCCCGGGGTTCATGCCATTCTCCTGCCTCAGCCTCCCGAGTAGCTGGGACTACAGGCGCCCGCCACCACACCCAGCTAATTTTTTTCATCTCTACTAAAAATACAAAAATTTTGTACATTGAAAATACTGGCTGGCAGGGCATGGTGACTCAGGCCTGTAATCCCAGCACTTTGGGAGGCCAAGGCAGGAGGATTCCTTGAGCCCAGGACTTCAAGACCAGCCTGGGCACCATAGTGAAACCTCATCTCCACCAAAAATGCAAAAATTGACCGGGCGCAGTGGCTCACGTCTGTAATCCCAGCACTTTTGGAAGCTAAAGTGGGCAGATCACCTGAGGTCAGGAGTTCAAGACCAGCCTGGCCAACATGGCAAAATCCTGTCTCTGCTAAAAAATACAAAAATTAGCTGGGCGTGGTGGCAGGCACCTGTAATCCCAGCTACTCGGGAGGCTGAGGCAGGGAGATTGCTTGAACCCAGGAGGTGGAAGTTGCAGTGAGCTGAGATCGCGCCACTGCACTCCAGCCTGGGTGACAGAGCGAGACTCCGTCTCAAGAAAAAAAAAAAAAAAAAAAAAGCAAAAATTAGCTGGATTCGTGATGGCGCACACCTGTAGTCCCAGCTACTTGGGGGGCTGAGGTGGGAGGATGGCTTGAGCCCAAGAGGTCGAAGTTGCAGTGAGCCGTGTTTGTGCCACTGCACTCCAGCTTGAGTGACAAAGTGAGATCCTATCTCAAAAAAATATGTTTAAAAAATATTAAATATTTAATATGAAACCCCGTCTCTACTAAATATTACAAAAAACTAGCCGGGCGAGGTGACGGGCGCCTGTAGTCCCAGCTACTCGGGAGGCTGAGGCCGGAGAATCACTTGAACCTGGGAAGTGGAGGTTGCAGTGAGCTGAGATCGCGCCATTGCCCTCCAGTCTGGGCGACAGAACGACACTCTGGCTAATTTTTGTGTTTTTAGAAGAGAGGGGATTTGTCACGTTGGCCAGGCTGGTCTTGAACTCCCGACCTCAGGTGATCCACCTGTCTCAGCCTCCCAAAGTGCTGGGATTACAGGCCTGAGCCACTACGCCAAACCCAGATCCAATATTTTAAAAGGATAATCAACATAAATGAGTTTGGGATAATTTTAGGAATGCAAGATAGTATTACATGAAAATCAGACGATGTAAAGTATTCATTAGTGCAACAAAGGAAGGATAAAATAATGTAATTATCTCAGTGCGGAGAAAGCTGAAAAAACATTCAAATCTATTAATGACCAAAATTCTTAGCAAAACAGGAATACAGAACTTCCTTAAACTGACAGAGTACCTACAGAAACTTTTCAGCCCACATCATACTTATAAGTGAAATGGTAGCTGTGCACAGTGCCTCACACCTGTAATCCCAACACTTTTAGGCCGAGGTGAGCAGATCGCTTGAGCTCAGGAGTTTGAGACCAGCCTGGGCAAGATGGTGAAACCCCATAAGTACAAAAAATACAAATTAGCCAGTGTGGTGGCCCATGCCTGTAATTGCAGCTACATGGGAGGCTGAGGTGGGAGGATTGCTTCAGCCCAAGAGGTTGAGGTTGCAGTGAGCCAAGATTGCACCACTGCACTCCAGCCTGGGCAAGAGAGTGAGACCCTGTCTCTAAATAAACAAATAAGACTAAATAAATGTGGAATTACAAAGAGCTCAGAATAGACAAGAGAGTCTCAGATTTTATTTTTTATTTTCAGACGGAGTCTTGATCTGTCACCCAGATTGGAGTGCAGTGGTGCTATCTCAGCTCACTGCAATCTCCGCCTCCCGGGTTCAAGTGATTCTCCTGCCTCAGCCTCTGGAGTAGCTGGGATTACAGGTGCCAATCACCATGCCCAACTAATTTTTGTATTTTTAGTAGAGACGGGGTTTCACTATGTTGGCCAAGTTGGTCTAGAACTCTCGACCTCAGGTGGTCCACCCAGCTCA